CCTCACTTAATTTCCTTTCGCTGCTCAGCTCTCACACAGTGGCTCAGCTATGCTCCAATCCCTCCATATTGTGGCCAATCACATGCGAGGATATCTCATTATGCGAAAAATAGAGAGGGTGAGAGACGCGACATTCAAGTGGAGCGTGCGTCTGTCCTCTCAGTAAGTGAGTGAGACAGACAGCGGTGAGGAGGGCTGTGCGACAGCAAAAACACATAAATATGCCTGACACCCGTAAACGAAGCAGCATCTGGCTGCAGTTTAAAGACTTTTTTTTTGTCTCAGTCTTGGGCTCGTCTCGACTTGGTCTTCTCTTGGTCTCGGATTAGGCGGTCTTGACTACAAATCTAATCTAAAGTGATACATTGATTCTTTAAAATTATGTTTGTCGAGTTTGTTCAGTAATTACAGAAAAACCCCAGTGTTTAATAAGGTTAGAAAATACACCTAAATTACAAATTTATGTATATTAAAAAAAAAAAAATCAGAGCTGAATTAAAACGCACAAGAGCTTTGTTCAGAGTCAGCGTTAGCTTGTCCTGCACACAAAACAACCAGTTGCAAACTGCAGGCCTCTCAGCTTAACAAGCTCCAGTTAACACACCCATGAGAATGTCTATGCCCATATAGATTTCAGTGGGTCCAGTTTCAAGTAGAATTCTGCTTCCACAGTCAACAGGAAGCTGCTGTCACGAAATGCAGTGTTTTTTCTCATACCTGTTTGCGTCCATCCAAACAGGTATTAGATAAAAACACTGCCATTTTGTGGCTTCAAAAGCTATGACTCATGTTGTTGTTGGGGCTTTTTCTTTTGTGGTAGTTTTTTATGAGTTTTGCCTTTTGTTGTAGGTGATTTTTCAAGCACAAGAAAAACTGACAGAAGAGGATGGGTACTTTTCTTTTTCTTTTACATTTTGTTAGGTTTTTGTTTGTTTTTTTAAATAAATTTCCCTGTATCTAATAATAATTCACGTTTTTAATTGCTAGTCATTCTTACTTCTTCTTTTCTCAATTTCCTCTCTTTTTATCAAATAAGATGTCTCCAGATGATACTGAAGCCTTCAATATGACCAATTTAGTCCCTGGTGATGACCCACCTAAAGGTGAGCTGCTGTATTTCCTCTGTTTCCCAGCAGGGAAACAGAGGGCTTAAATAGAATAGAATAATCCTTTAATTGTCCCACAAGCGGACATTTGCTTCTAAATACACCAGTTGTTCCCAAAGTTTTCTACCTCATAAAATATATGGCTCTTAAAGTACCACCCTCATGACTAACATTAAAATACAGTAGTATAGGCCTATTTAACACCATATATAGTTTACACAAGACAATTTTACTTCTTACATGAATGTTATTTATTTTAACTGTCATAAACAGGATGTGACAAGTAATAATAATAATAACAACTCTACTGCATTAAAACATTTAAAGCAGATGGGATATACGGTCTTTGATTGATGACTTATGAACCCTGCTTACAGGTCCAACCTACTCTACGTTTATTAAGGCTGTTTTGTTTTTAATATGTTTTAATGCTTTGCATCTTGTTCTATTTACCGTATTTTCTGCACTATAAGGCGCACTTAAAATCCTTTCATTTTCTAAAAAAATCAACAGTGCGCCTTATGTATGAATTCTGGTTGTACTTACTGACCACGGACCGATTGTATGCGCTCAAAAATCTGTCAAAAAATGTTTTAGTACTACTTTGGTAAGCTACAAAGCCGCACCATTTGATGGATTATCGGAGCATTACGGCTACCGTAGTCCAGAGCCTCACGGAGTAATCTGGATCCAAAACTCCGTTCATTTCAGGTCCCAAAGTCAAACAAACACTGAGAGTTAAAAACTGTCTGAATTCTTTCATCTGTGATAAAATGATCAGAGTTGCTGCTTTACCAGAAGTAACAATTAAGTTTAATGTCCAGGCATCCATGAAAACAGAATTTATTAAATTTAACAGAGTTAGAAGTTAGCAGGAAGTTAGCCTAAATGTGATATGCCATGTTCTGACAGAGAGATTTCTGAAAAAATTAAAAAGGTACAGCTCTGCTATCACTTCCAACATAAATGAAGACAGAAAACTAAACATCAGTGTAACTCCGAAATGACAACACAGGCACAGCTTCTTCAAGATGGGCGCTTCGCTGCATTTATTGAACGCCGTGAAAACTGCAAACATAAAACACAAAGGCTTTAAGCGCTTCAGTCTATCAAAAGTAACACTTGTGCTTTACAACAAAAATTACCTCGTGGCCGCCTGCCACTTCAGAGGTCCTAGAAGAATAGCTTTACAGTCTTGTGCATTCTAAATTAAAACATAAAATAATTAGAACACCATACATTACAAATTTTCACAATATTACAATACAGTTATGGCAAATGACAAATACCTTGTACAGCTGGTAGACTAACCAGGCCTTTGCAGATAGCTCGCTGAACTCCTTAGCGTGATTATTAAACGTGGGCTCACAGCCTATACTATCACGCCCAAACCTCGCGATAATAGCGGTGCAACAAAACTTGTTCTTTATGACAAGATAAACACACCCTTACAATATTGACCACAGACACGTACAAGCAAGAACATTTTAACTGCTGGAACCATCTATTAAACTTCTTTATACATAAGCCATTTCTGTGACACTTACAATCAGTGACTTTTGTAGGGTAACTGAAGTTGGGCTATAGCTGGTATATAATGATGTGCCACATGATATCTAGCGACACAGCTATGTTAGCATAACATAACCACAGTTATGTTGGTGAAAACATGTCACTTCCAGCCAATTTTAAATCAAAATTTCAAAGAAAGACTGGTCTGGACCAGGTAATGTGTTTAGCAAAGGTTACCATGGCAATGTAGGTGGTAAAAAGAGATCCACTTTTGTGACACTAAAATCTCTGAGTTTAGATTCAAATTACCTTGCTCAGTCAATAACCTTGCTTCATAGAACACTCCTCAGACCTTTTCCTATTTCATACACATTGCATTTTCATGTATAGACATACGAAGTGAAAGAAATGTAACTCTGGATCTGTCTTCTGGTTCTGTTGCAGGGTCTGATCATCTAAACAGAAAAGAGTCTCAAACTGAGAATGTAAGTGAAACAAGTGCATCCTCAGTATTGAACTGACTACAGAGATTACTATTTACAACAGAGAAGATACAGATGCAAAAACCTTTTTGCTCTATTTTATTTCTAGTCTTCTGTATACCACTTGTACTCCACCATCCCTGAGGAGCCAGATGAAACACCTACAACGAAAACAGAACTGGCGTACAGCACTCTACAGCCACACTGAAGCATATGAAAAAATACTGAACTGGAAAAAAACAAAAACAAAAGATAAGACTATATGGCCATTACACACTCAAGCCGTATAGACAAGGCAGGAGATGTTTTTCTTTTTTTATGTAGGAATCTCACCCGGATAACTTTTCTACTTCAGCTTTCAAATTGTATTAAAGACAACAATTTTCAAAAGATTAACATACATTTTTTTATTTTGGTGTCAGCCCATAGCTTTGTATTAACAGTGCAATGTGTTATTCAAGCAGCATTTGTGTTTTTCTAACCTTTTTTTCCCCAAGATTTATTTTGGTTTTTATTTTAATAACAAAAGCTGTTACAGAATACTCATGGAACATAGTAAATATCTACAACTCATTACAATATAATAAGTTATTGTCACTGCAGAAACAAAAGTGTATATTTTTGTATCCATGCCATTCAAGGATGATTTCAAGCATCAGAAAACCAAACACATACTTGCTCGTTGCTGTTGCTTTATACTAGAGTATGTAGGGGTAGACTGCCTTTTTGTTTCTTTATAGTTTTCTCCAGTTTTTCTTACTTAGGGAGGTAAGTTTTTGTCTTTTGGTTTAATTCTGTTCAGTAGGTAAGTTTGTTCAATCCTGAAGTAGTCTCCCTTTTTTTGTTTTGGCATTAGGTCCACCCTGAGTTGTAATCACCCATATGGAAAAGAACATTTCATACATTGTTTTAGTAAGTATCCAAAACGTACAAGTTTCATTATATAATTTTTCAAGAGATCTTATATCTGTTTTCACTCTTATATGCTTTTCATACAAGTTTCACACAAGACAGATACAAACTTTATAAGATTTATATATATCTTTTCCATATGGGCAGTTCTTCTTTTTGTGTTAAATAACCTCACGAATCATTCTATTGTAAATAAATCATTATCAAATGCTATCAGTTGTGTGGCGTGCTGCTTGGGGTCTGACGAGGATGGATTTCCTGTGTGTTATGTTCTGGCCACCCCTAGATGTGTTGTAACAAGAATATATCTGTATGTGAGAGAATTTCTTCACTACGTGTGATCATGTATAATAATGTATGTGCTAGGTTAATAGCCCAAGTTGTTAGTTGGCATACAAGACCTTGCATATGTCTAGTATAGACCAATTAAATTAAAATTCAGGAGCAGACCTGTTACAAATATCACCATTAAATGAATTAAACAACTTGAGTTCTCCTAAAAGTCCATGTTCTTAGCCGTGTGTTGTGAAAAGCTATGTTTTGCCCAGGTGGTTTACGAGTACGTGTTTCAGCCATTGGTCAGGGCACAGCTTCATGAATACAAAAACTGCCTTGGTGTAAGAAGGAAATAAGTTCTATAGTGACCATGAGAAATGCACCCAGTCCACCAGATACGCATGCAGCATCTGCATGCAGATATTGGAGGGAAGATAATGTATGTATAGTAAAGAAGTTTCTAGTGAACGGGGAAGGTATAGTATGAAGTACACTGGAGGCTGCTTCAATAACACAAACAATTAAGCGACTCTAGGTGGCTAATATGCATTTACATGTAAACATGTTAGTCATTTCTTTTTAAACACTTTCTTGTGATTATTTTCATTTTGGCTTGAAATAAAACACCCCCCTCTGCTGGTGCTGCAGCTTACTGAAACTTCTGCATGTGTGTCCATTTAAAACTCCACATACATGTAATGAATAAAATGATACTTCTTCCAATAAAAAAAGATTATTGTTAAAAGACAGAACCAGCCAGGCAAGGTAAAAACTAGTTTAGTCTCTGGCTTCAAACAGCTTTTCCTGTGCTCTGTCCCCTTGCTTCCTGTGTATCCACACACAGTTCTCATCCTTTCTGTCTCCAAATTGTTATTCAAAAATTGTGATTATTAATTGGCAAGACTAAGGAAAATGGCGATGAGGTTAATTTCTTTCTCAGTTGCAGATTTTATTTAACAAGATCGAGCAAATACTCAAAATACAGTTTTTCTCAAATGTTAAAACACAAAAGCCAATCCTGTAACCCAAATGACCAGTAGTCTAAACACATTTACTAAATGTAGCCACCATA